TATAATTTTTTTTTTTTACTTTTTATGCTAATCTTCATTTTATTTTTAAGATAACTAAAATTAACGAAAATCCATTTCGAAAAGAAACCAAAATATCTAAATGGGTGATGAAATTTTAAATTTAAGTTACAAGAGAGCGTATATAAATACATAAATTTGCCAACGAGACAAAATTTAAAATTCGCACCCTAAAAAATAGTAATATAATATAATATATTTTAAAATTTGAAATATAAAAATACGTAAGTTTAAACAATATGCTTTAAAAAATATGAGTTCTTATTTCAATAATATTTTCGATAATCACTTATTATGCCAACATTAAAATTCAAAGTTTTATTCAATTAAAGCAAGTGAACTTATTTTTCGCAAATAATTAACAAGTAATTTATACAAAATTTGAAGATAATAAGCGTAAAAATTTGTAAAATCAAAAATTATTATTTTCTTTTACAATTCAATTATTGTAACAATATTAAAAATCAATAATTTTATATATAACCTTCTAGAAATGATCTTGACTTAAATATTATTACAATATTACTTATTGATATTTCAGAAAAAATATTGAAAATCTTATTTTGAAGGTTTTTTTCAGTATAGAAAAAATGTTTGTCTTTTAAAATTTTTATAAAGAGAAGCTAACAACCGCCTTTATAAATAATATCGTAAATTTTATACATATTGGAAACTAAAATTTGATTAAACAGAATTTATTGATTCTTGACAATTATGTCAACAGCTGAATAAATTTGACATACTAGCTCTCAAATTGAATGAAAAACAAATTGAAAAATAGGATTAAAGAAGAAAACTAAAAACAAAGATATTAAGCGGAATAATATTTATGACAAAATCTTAAGCCGTAATAGTAATATTTAAGAATAGAAACGTTATTAACGCCCCGTTAATATTATTGTAGATGCGAATGCGACATAATAGAACATCATTATGAATAAAATTATAAATATGATTGCATTCAATATAACAAACTTATTGTATATGTAAATTCTTTGGACATTATTATTGCCTTCACCAGTCGCAAGTAAGTATGCATATCTGTGTTAATAGTATATTCATTGAACAAAGTATTTCACAGTTTTCAATCAAAAAAGATAAATAGGTACCTACTCATATAAACAGCGGATTCAATAAGCGAGAAAATTGTTAATACCTATATTTAATGAAACTAAAATTCAAGAAAATTGAAAAATATAAAAATATCTCTTATAAAATTTATTTCCAAATTTCATGAAAAACCCAAAACAAATTGTTGATTCATTAATAATTAATTCAATGTTATTGAATTTTCTGTGCAAAATAAAATTTTCACACAAATCTTTTTCATATAAATTTCAATTTATTCCTTTTAGGCTTATAAGTAGAGAATACTTTTTAAAAATTTTCACATTTTTTTTTTACCAAGTTCTATATTTAAAATTTTTTTTTTGGTATTCTATTTTTATACTTTATAATAAAAAAGAAAAAATACTTTATTGTTTTATTTTTAAAAATTTCTCTTCTTCTTTTATAAACAAAAAAAAAAATATTTTTTTTTCAGCCTATACACATGTGCATGCACAAATAAACAATAATTTATTTTTGGAATAAATTTTGTAGCTTAACAATAATATTGAGTAACCTACCTACATACATATGTACAAATATGTAAGCATAAGCATGCTAATGTATTTATATAAGTGATATTAAAGGCGGACAATAACATTTTAAGTATTATGTATTAAAATTAAAATAATTAAAAGTTTGAAATAAAATTTTATTACCTTTTCAAGGCATTCTTGTCCGATTGCCTTTGGATCGCATTTAACAGCTTGTTGAGTACCATTTGGTAAATTTACAATGCACCACATTTTGAAATATTTTTCTTTCTTTCTTTCTTATTCTTTAAAACACTTTTTTTTTGTTAAAATGATATTACTTTTAAAATATCATTAAAATTTTTTTTTCTTCTTTTGAAATTTTATTATTGAAAAAATAATAAAATACAAAAAATTAAAATAACACTCTTATGATAAAAAATTTATAATTTCAAAAAAAAAAAACAAAAGATAACTTGATGAATTTTAAGAAGAATCAAAAATTAAATATAAAACAGATTAACAAAGCACAACAATTTTTACATAAAAATATAAGAGTGAGGACAATTTTTAAAATAAAATCTTCTTGTTAAAAATTAAAATTTGTAATGTAAAACAAATTCAAATAAGTTTTTGTTTTTTTTTTACTTTTGTAACACAAGACAATTTTGATTAAAAAATAATCGATAGGCAAACAAAATATTTTTATTTTTTAAATATTTCTTTTAAAATTTTATTTGTTTTATACAATTTAAAACCAAAAATTTATAATTAAAATCTTTAATAAGAAATGCACTTAAATTTTTATTTTGTTAGAAAAAAAAAAAACAATTTAATTTCTTTATTCTTCGAATCTCTGTTGATGTATGAAAAATTCTTCCGTCTAATCATAATATTTTATACTACTTAGTTATTGAATTTTAATTTCCTTTTTTTTTATATACTTTGTAGGAAAAGAATATTATTGTATAATTAATACATTTATAAAAATATTATTTAAGATTTTTTAAAAACAAAAAATTTCTTTATCTTCACCAACAAACTGTTTTGTTTTTCTATTCAATTTCTTATTTTTTTTTTCAATTACAATATTAATTATGTACTTTTGAATTATAAAGAACAAGCACAAAAAATAAAATATAAAAACAGCAAAAAAAAAATATTTCTTTCTGTTGTATTTGTTTTTATTTTTTTATATAATTATATTAATTTGTATTCGCTTTAAATAATTAATTTGATATTTTTTTGTATAAATTTTATGAATGTTTAATATCATTAAAAAATTATTTTTATTTAAATTGAATTTTTCAAGAAATTTAGTTTTATTATTAGTTTTAAAATGAAATAATGGTAGAGAAACTTTTTGTGTTCCAACTACGTCCATACTATACGAAAATCAACTTCCGAATGTTAAATGGAGAATCTCTTCAAAATACTTTTATGTAAAAGAAAAAGAAAAATAATATAATATATATATATATATATATGTGTGTGTGTGTGTATTACAAAAATGTAAATAAAATTTATTTGTTTTTGTGTGTGTATATATGATATTTTTTTATATTTCAATAAGATACATATATTTTTTTGTACCTGAATTGTAAATAACCATATGTATAGAAGAGCACAACACTGTTTCTGAAAGTATATTAACATTATCTTTAAATAAAATTAAAGAGAACACACACTACTTCAAATCACAATTTTAAATTTACTTATGCACACTCTACTGTGATGGAATAATTCGCTGTAATTTAATATTATGAAGCGAAATCAAAATGAGATAAAAAAATGAGAAGTTAAAACACAAAAAAATTTAAGAGAAATTTAATTTTTATATATATAAAGAATTTATTACTACATATTTTATATACTTATTAGGTATTTCTTTAAAATAAAATGATATAAAAATATATTAATGGTAGTAGGCAAGAGAAAATATTATACTTATGGATTGAGCAAAATTTACATTGAAAAATAATATTGGTTTAACTCGATAAAATTTAATTTTAAAAAATTTTTAAATTTTGAAACAAAAAATTATTTTTAATTCTATATAAAAATTACAAAAAATAATTTTTTTTCAATTAAGTCTTAAAGTAATTTTAATTCGTTTTAAATTAAGTTAATTATTGTGTCAAAACAGTGAATATAATTTGTAAATCTATATAATATTTTACAAGATTTTTTCCAGTCAGGAACTTTTATTGTGTAGGTATATTCATGGCAAACAAAAATAAAACACACGATGTTCAAAAGCAGCCCAATTGAACTTTTTAAAAATTTACATGAAAAAAATAAAAACAGATCCCCCAGCGTTGATCAGCAAACCGTAGGATCTGTTCAACACAGCAGGAATCATCAGAATCACAGTCCTATTCTATGTACAGTTAAAAAAGTAAATCCTAAACAGCTTTATAAGGTTTGCAAAATAAAGCAAATCATTTCAATTGTTTTCTTTTTAATAATGCTTCAAGAAACATATAAAGTGTTTTATACCAATTCGTAATTCTAATTAAATACCAACAACAAAAAAGACAAACATTATATGTCACATTACGTACATACATACATATATATTACTTGTATGTAATGTTTCATTAAAAAATTAAAATTATAAAAACAAAAAGTTAACCGGCTTCATTTATATTGCCGGTCAAGTTATTAATATATATATTAATAGCTACAATATTATTTTTGAAAAAAATTTCTCTTAAAATTTTTATTGCACAAGCGCGATTGTAAGCACTATGGCATATTCGTTTTTTTATGTAATGGAGGTTGTACCATATTCTTATAAGGTATGCAAAATTGCATGTAATACAATTTTTGATAAAACGAATTGCTGAAAATACCAATATAACCTTATACATTCATTTTTAAAATAATATATACATACAAATGTATCTAATCATTGGAATAAAAAGTTTTGAATTCAAAATATAAAATCTCATTCATCACACATAACATAATAATTTACATCAAATCCTTAACGTACGGTTATGTGCGAGGCAATTCAAAAATTGAAATAAAAATATACTTATTGCAAATTTCCCGAAACCATCACATAATTCGAAATTTGAATCTTACTAAGTCCAAAAATTACCTTGTTATTCATTTACTTTTAATACTCATTAGTCATTATAATAGGTAATACTTGTATTGGTTTCTAATTATTAACAAATAATTAAAATGAATTATGTATTAATAATTTAAAATTTTGCTTTATTTATAACATAATATTATAATGAAATACCGAAAAAATTTTTGCAATAACAAAACTCAAAAACAAACTGTAAGTTTATAAAATAAAATAACAAGTACAGTTATAAAACAACCATAATTTAAAATTATTTATAATAAATAAGCCATTAAAAATAAATTCTTGATCAAATGAAGTGAAAAGATCCATTTTTATGAACTGTAAGACATTTTTAGTTTGCTAAAATATTCTAAATCTTTCTTGCTAACCGAAGGCACAAATTTTTCGTAAGCTCTTTCAAAATCTTCCATTTCAACAATTATTTTATTTGTAACTTCTTCACCTTTTTTTGTTTTATCTATAATAAAAATATAAGCAATGGTTTTTAGTTAGTTTATTGTTTTTTTTTTAAGCAAATTGTTTACCTTTTTGATGAGCTGTAATAATTCTTCTAACAGCTGACAGCCACGCATTCGAGCATATCGAATATAAATCAGCTCCAGTCATATCCTCCTTTAGTATGGCGGATATATTATTAATATTTACATTTTTACCTAGCACAAATTTCTTCATTTGTGCTTTAAGTACAGCTGCCTTATCTTCATATGTAACACATGGGGCAACATAAAAGAGTTTATCAAATCTTCCAGGTCTAAGTAAAGCTGGATCAATCAAATCAGGTCTATTTGTGGCAGCCAATATAAATATCGGTTTATTTGGATCGCTTGTTCCATCCATTTCAGCTAATAATTGACTGACTACTCTATCCATTACACCTCCAGAATCGCCTGCTACCCCACGATTTGGTGCTAGAGAATCTAATTCATCTAAAAATAGTACACAAGGTGCAGCTGATCGGGCTCTTGAAAATACTTCTCGAACATTCTGTTCACTTTGCCCGACATACATATTTAATAGTTCAGGTCCTTGCACTGAAAGAAAACTTAAATTACATTCCGTAGCAACAGCTTTAGCTACCAAAGTTTTTCCGGTTCCAGGGGGACCATATAAAAGTATACCAGAACGTCGTAAATTTTTCCCCATTAAGTGAACGTGTTTCAAGGGTAAACCTATGCTACTCTGAATTTCATCCTTGATTTTAGCTAGCCCCCCAATATCTGACCACAAAACTTTCGGCACTTTTGGAGCACCTAAGCTATCAGCAAAAAGTGTTTGCATTTCATTAAGATTTCTTACAAAATGATCTAAACGAAGATTAGACATTTTTTCTATATTAGCATCTCTTACTGCATTATCATAAAGCAATTTCAAATCTCCTAACAAAAATCCTTGAGATTTTTCTGCTACCTGAAGGAGAATTTCTTTCATATTTTTCCATTTGAAAAACCTTTTTAAAAAGACTTCTCGGCAAGTCATCGGAAAAAGTGGAACTCTGTCTAAATTTCCTTTGTTAAAAATTTCTTCGTTATAAATTTCACGTATATGAAGCCATTTCAAAATTTTAAATCTTTCTATTTTTCCAAGTGGAGGAATCTGAATAATTTCCAAAAACAATCTATGTATCATAGTTTTTAATTCTTTTTCATTCGTAAGGGCTATAATTATTATAGGATGCTCCCGATCTTTATTATAAAGTTCTTGTATTTGTACTTGAAATGAAGCTAAAAGACGAAGATCCTCATTACCTTCATTATCAATTCCAAAAATCTAAAACAATAAATTTTAAATTAAGAAAGAATTATGTTCTGCATAATATTTAACTATATCAAATACTGACTTCAAAATTGTGAAAGCAAATTATTAATGGTTCAGAAATAACGCTTTTTGCAAATACACCCTTCAACTTTACTTCTGTATGGGTTGGAACTTGAGAAACAATTTCTGCGCAGTCTACAGCATATAAATTCATTCCCAAGTCTTGTGCAACAGCATTTATTAGTTTTGTTTTTCCAGAACCCCTTTCTCCTTGTATTAAAAACAATGGAAATATTTGCTTCCATGATAAACAAGCAGATTTCTTTGGCAAAAATGCATAAATAGACGACTTCAGTAACTGATAACATTCTTTCAAGCCATCTGGAAAGTTGTTTGCAATTGCAACACTATCTAGGAGTTGTCTTGGTAAAAACTCTTTTAAATTTCCCTTCTGAATTAAATTTGTAAAATTTGTTGCAACAATAGCTTGAGACTCAAATTCGTTTCCTTTTGTTTCTAAATGTGTGCATTTGATAAAAACTTCTTTTAAATAAGCAAATATGTGATAATGTTGAGCATAAACCGCTGTTCCCAGAAGGTTTGCGTCTACTGCAATTTTATATGTAAAACCACAATGCAAAATTCTTGGTGTATTAAAATAATTTGTTAACAATAAATCGACAACATCGATTGGCAATTCATATGGATTACTTATCATTTGAACATGAGCTTTTGTTGCTATCGCCGGTAGTGGTTGGTGTTCATGAATTGGTTCGATTTCTATTGTTGTATTCATTTTATTTTTGAATTTTTCCATTAAATTTGAATAAAAGTTTTCGGCGACAAATACACAGCTTTTTTGGCAATTAAACGCTGGCTGTAATTGAACAATTAAAGTCTGTGGCTTCAAGCTCAATATGTCTTTCATAATTTCTGATTTGTGCTCCTTTTTTGGCGTAAATCTACCACTAACAATTAGGGTAACATAATTTAATTCACGGCTCTCAGCATATTTTTCGAAAATATCTTCTGATACAAATAATATGTGTTCCGATTTTATATATTCATTTCGTATTAGAAATTCGTATAACCGACTTGGAATAGGTGTTAATTTAAATTTATCGCGATTTAAGGCAACATGACGCTGTGTTAGTTCCAAAATTAATAAGGCTGGAAATGAATACCATCTGTATTTAGGGAATAATATTCTATTTACAATTATGAAAGCGTTGACAAGAGAACGCATTTCTGAATCATCATATTGAACTTTGATGTGTAAGCTAACTGGTGGTAAAGATGAAGTTGAAACCGGACGTGGTTTACGCTAAAATATAAAAGCTATATATAATTATACATGTGGTATTCAAACTACTTACCATTATAAAAAATTAAATTTAATATGCGAGAATCCGAATTTATTTATTCATAAATTTAAATTCAAGAAGAAAACAAAATGATAATCAGCTGATTATGTTTATGTCAATTTGTATTGTCATGTGTTTTATCGGGAGGAAAAGGGACTAATCTAAAACAAATTGATTATTTAAGACGCGTTAACATATCAATTATAAAAATAAGTTAGATAGCTTTGGATAGCTAATTTCTTACAAAAAGTTTAATCTTTGAAGGTAAAAGTATTATAAGTAAGTAATATCTAATAATATGTTTAAATTCTAAATTAAGTTAAAATTATACAACATGAAGAAAAACACATTGGTCACCTAAATCAAAAATTTTTTCAAAGTGCGAAAACTTAACTCATTTAAGTTTTGTTATTTAAGTTCTCTATTGTCATTATATATAAGTATGTATTTTAGTTTTAAGATAAAAAGGACTAAATTAAAATTTTGACTCCTGATCGTCTTTTTGCTATTTTACTTAAAGAGAAAGAAAGTGTGAGTTACAATAAAAATACTGAGAGTTCCGATTTGAAAGTGAATAAAAATTCAATAAAAATGCGAGATACACGATCGGGCTTCAAAACTCAGCTAAATTTTAATAGGAAATAATCTTCGATACTAATGTTAAAATGACTTCTTTGAAAAATCAACATAAAATTTAAATTAACTAACTTGTTAAAAAATTCTCGGTAAAAATCGGAGTTATGCCTTTATGCTTTGATCAATTTTGATGTTTTTGACGTCATTGATACCTCTTTCAATAATATGCGGATGTCATTAAAAATGTCAACTTTCATGTCGTTAGTGTCAAACATGTAATAGAAAACATTTTATTTTATGTTTATAAAAAATTTCGTTAAAAATGTCCAATAACGTTAATATTTCAATAGAAACTCCAAATGAACATCAAATTCAAGAAATAGCATATGATGGAACCGAAATATACCAACCGTAATCTTATAAAAGCATAAAATGATTAGTAAATTTACACGGTAATATTTTCAGATTACCAACGCTTTCAGAAACGCTTACAAAATGTGCATCGAAAATAGATTTCAGTAAAACTTCTTTGGATGAATTAAAAAAAGATGATGATAAAAAGTCTAAGGCGGATCAAGATGCCCAATTTCAGCCTAGTTTATGGCCATGGGACTCTGTTCGAAACCACCTAAGAGACGCTTTTACTGAAATTTCTGTTCTATATGACGTTCTTTCTATATGCAAAGATAAAAGATATTTAGTTTTGGATCCAATACCACAGGAAGCTTCCGACACTAAAATAATGGTTCAAGTTTATGCTCGAAAAAAATCTTTGAGTCAAGCGGCAAATGTTTTGTTGAATGGTGCTGAACGATTAAGAAATTCTCATAGCGAACAACGAAATAACCGCAATGTTTCTGATTTTCATATTGAATTATTACGTCTTCGACAGAATTGGCGATTGAAGAAAGTATCCAATACTATAATAGGGGATTTGAGTTATAGAACTGCTGGATCAAAATTTATGCATTCTGGTTTATTTGAAGTTACAAAAGCTGAAGAAGAAGGAGAAGACGAGGTTGCTGCACCTTCACAGAGCCCATCAAGTAGCACACAAGGAGCATTAGTATCACCAAAAAATAACTCTGCTTTACGAGTCAATGTTCCCTCAGAATTACAGGGTGTAGCATATATCAAAGTGATTACACAAAAAGACCAAGAAGATTTATGTACAGCAAATGTTAATTTGATGGGAAGCGGTCCAAATATCACACAACAAACTGGAATATGGCAGAAAACTTTAGAGTTTGCCCAAAATGTACTTTTTTGCAAAGAACTGTTTAGCCAACTTGCAAGGGAAGCAATACAATTGCAAGCCCCAATACCTCATGTAGTAGTTGGTAATCAAATTCGAGCAACACTCTTACCAGGTATTCAATTAATTATATCACTTTGTCATTCTACAACATTTGATTCAAACCAACCCGGTCCTATAAATGATCACGATCATGTTTTGGAACATTCATTACATCAGCTTTTAAGAGAGGTACATCATAAGAATAGTCATCATCCGTTTCCACATCCAGCAAGTGGACCACTCGGACCATCAAAGAGAAGAATGTTAGCTGGTCCTATGGCAGCTGACAGGCAAGAGCTCCTTGAAATGACGAAAACACAAACAATTTTAGAACAAATAATTGCTCAAGCTCAACATATATTTATGAGAAAAAGAACTCAATACGTTTTAGATACTTTAGCCAGAGATGTTAAAGATCCCCAAATTGTCTCGCACTGGAATGCTATGAATAATCCAACAATGTCTTGCGTAAAAATTAATATAGTTACACATGGGTAATAATTTATATACAAAAGTATAACTTTTTATCATACTCAATGCTTTCTTTTTTTCAGTTATGACACAATTCATAGAACATCACTAGTCATTCATGTAAAAGAACGTTCACTGAAATGTATATGCCGGGACGGACGTGTAATGCATCTATCATATGAGCCTCAAGAACTAAGAGATTTAATACTATGTCAAATTAATCAACATCAAATTTCATGTTTACTTAATTTAGCAAAGTGTATGGCTTGGCAAGTTTTATCAAACAGTAATCATTTAGGAATTGGTTCGGTTGAGCCATTAGGAAATGCAAGCGCATGTTTATTAGCGTCGCCAAATGGTGACCGAATGATTGCCGTTCAAATAAGATGTGATCCTCAAATAGATGTAAAAGTTTTTGTAGCAAGAAGTCCGAGACAAGACTTCTTTCCAAGTCCACTTGTACCAGAAAAATTTTGGGAAAATTTAGGAGGACATTTCAAAGAGGTTTATGTCTATTAATTGGATTAAAATCATAATTTCTAAATAAATTATTGTTCTAGGTGAAATTTGATAAAATGGAGGGTAAAAATTTTCTTAACAAAATGGAATTTCTGATGGCTTGCTTATCAAGCACAACCAACTAGAAAAATTCTTAGTTTAAAAACAAATGATTAGTTTAAGTAAAGATATTATTTTTAAAATAAATAAGAAGCAGTAATCATTAATATTTTTACATTACGTAATAAGATGTAATTGTTAAAATAAAACAAAAGTATTGAACAACTTAAATAAGATAATAAAAATTTTAATAAATTACGCAAATGCGTCTTAAAAATTTAAAAGTTTATGTCTATAACGAATCATCAAAATTTACGGATTCAACATCTTTATTCATATGTCCCAATTTCATTTGCTTAAGGTCTTCTTTCGCTTTATTAATAATCCTAGCTTTCCAAGTCTCATAATCTTCAATCTCTGCTTTATTGGCACGGTCTTGTGTTTGACTATTTATTTCTTTACTTTCACTGACAACTTGAGTTACACTCTTTGGTTTACAACTGGATTTTTTTAGCAAATCGTTATATTCTGTTATAAACTTATCCCATTGTTGTTCTAATCGTGTCCACTGTGACGGCCTCAAATGACTAAATCCTAATATTTTGGCTTTTATTATTTTAACTTTATTTAATTTACAAGCTTGAAATACTGCCATTGCAGCATATTGTGGATGTGATAAATCAATATCGTTGTCGTTACTTTTGTTGATGTGATCTTCGTACATATTAAGTAAATTTGTAGCCTTCTCGGAGACTTCATTGCAATTTAAATGAACACAAATTTCGCTAATTCTTAATGGTTTGTTTAGATTAAGAATTTTTTCAATATTTCTTTTATACTTTTCGTAAACAGTTTTTTTTAAGCCAGATTGTTTTATTATATCCAGCTAAAATAATTATGAGAACATTTTTAAACCATAACTACATACATACATATTTCTTTAAACTTAATTACCAAATCTGTAGATATTCCTAGCAATGATGTTGCTAAGTCCACACAAATACTTATTTTAGCGTAATCGTCAATACCTGATAATCCCGAAGATTTTATTTGTAATAGACGAAGTAACTCTGTAGTTTTCCTAAATTCCATTAGTAATTACAATTTTAATATATTTATGTATGTAGATTTCAAAATAAAATATTAAGTAGTTTGCTTACTCTAATAAGTTCTTGTGGTTCTGCAATCCAAGTTTCTTTAAAATTTGTGCTTCCATTTGCCAAATTTATTTAATGATTATAAAAATATGTATTATATTTTTAAAATATCAAAATGAAAACAATAAACCTTAATAAACTATCTACATATGTACATATGTTTATATAAGGGTGAAGGCGATAAACAAACAGTTGATTTGTTAACCTATATTTTCATGAATTTTCCCGGTTTTTACAAGATATTTTCTATAAACAACAAATACAATATGATGCGTTGTAAATACGTGTAACGACAAATCTCGCGCGTTTTCGCTTAACTTTGCTAAGTTTACTACAAGTAAAAAACCATATACATAGTTTTGATTAGATGCTTTCATAAAAAATTCAAATAAATATGAAAGTTTTCTTTTTTGTGTTTATAGACTAAAGAAGAGTAAAAACATTTTTTTTTGTTAATATTCAAATTTTAGTTATTTTTCTTCATTTCGCTCTCGTTGCTCCCCAAAAACATGTTTAGCAGCGAATACGAAAGAGTATGTTGTGTTTTTGTCTACTTACATGCAACAAATCTGAAGTTTATTGTTGGTGAAATTAGAATATGGGATAGGATATCGATACTGAAATACCGAACACAATTTAATGAACTTGATTAACTTTATTAATACATAGCAGCCAAGACGAGAGGATTTAACTAAAAATATTTGTTTTTCAAGAATTATTTTGCAGAGGAAAAACGATGCAGTATGGAAAAAAGAAGGATAGAGGCCGAAAAGCTACCTATTGATGAAATTATTGAAGTTGTTTTCAAGGAGCTAACTGAAGTATGTAAGACAATTAAAGATATTTGAATTTGCATAAACTATGCAATTTTTAACTGGACTCTTTTTAGAAAGAAAAAGAAATCGCCTCACAATTTCCTTTATCTCAAAAAGACCTTAAAATTTTGTGTTGTACAAAGAAATTAGCTGTTGTAGGAAGTTGGGCTAATTTATTAAAAGGAATTGAGAAAAGGATTCTGTCAAGAGAACCAGAGTTAAAAGATTCAAAAAAGCTACAAATAAAAGTATATAAATGGTATAAGAATCATCCGAGGTATAGTGAAAATAATTTTGAAACTAAATATGTATTTTAAAAATTTATTTAACTTTTAAGGCCCAGTAAGAAGTATTTTGAAAAAACATGGCAATCTCTTAAAGAAGATAAAGAAAACCATTGGAGAGAAACTAAAATAAACAATCTTATAAGTTTAGGAATTCATCCAAGTTTTTTGGCATCATCATTTGAAAAATATGGAAGCTTCGATAATGCTATTAAAATTGTAAAAGCCCTTGACTCTAAATATGAATCAAGTAATTCTAATAATTCAAATTGTAAGTTTACTTACATTTTGTTAATTTGAAACAAATTTGCGTATATGTACATTTATTTAATTTTTATAAACAGCACATACAGAGAGTGATGTTGAATCTGATTTATCGCAAATAACTGTCATCAACACGCCAAATACTTTAGTTAATACAGAAGATTTGTTAGGACCAGAGGAAGAAAACTATAACCTTATCAATGAAATTGAATTAGCATTTTGTTCGGAAGAAGTATGTGTTGCTCAAACACCATGTTATGATCATTTTAATATGATTGGATCTATGATCACTTCTACACAAAATGACAATAGCCAACTCTAACCTTATTAATTATATTTCATTTTTTTTGTAATTTTTACTTAATTAATAAAATTATCTAGAAGCTCAAATTCTTAAAATTCTTTTATTAACAAAATTTCAATTTGATAAATTTTAGGCGATGTATATTAATTTTATGCCATTCTATTATTTACTGCCAATTGTAGAGAATTTATTTGATTTGCCCATCTATCCATAGCGTTATAGCGCGCCGCACATCTTGTTTCTTTATCTAGTTTTAAGACTTGATTAACTTGATCGATTCTCCCTTGAATAGTGCTGTAATAAAAAAATTATGATAATTTGTCAAATAATTACAAACAAATTAAGTACTTGTCCAAAATACAAGAAACCATTAAACTTTCAACTTCAGCAGGTTCAATATTTAAGACGTTCGATATAAACGGTATTCTAATACTTGTATAAGGGCGAATCAATTTAATTAACACTTGTGTGCGAATATTTCTCAATAAATCTATAATAGAAATACAACGAAACTTCATATATATAGGCATATGATACAAAAATTACCTTCTATATGTTCCTTAATAAATGGGTCAGCCATAATATTGCTTCGGTTGTGGCGTAAAATAGATTCGAATTCACTGATATCATTATTTTGATAAGAAACAACTAGATTAGTCATTGCTAAAATCTCTGGATCATTTTTATACGGTTTGGCTTCTTGGGAATCAAATGGATTTATTCCAGATTTCATCAACCTTAACAAATAAATCAATATAGACTATTTTAATAAAACAAAAATTATTCACATTTTTAATTTCATTTAGATTAGTTGTCTTTTTTAAGATGACGATTACTTACATATTAGCTAAAACTAAATATTTTAAACATGTTGTGCGTCTCGGTGAACCCGATTCATCATAATTTTTAAAAGCTTCAAAGAAATCAGTATGAGCCTTTTCAAATTCCCCTTCACGTAAATGCATTTTTCCACCACATTCACGTATAACGCCCATTATTAAAGGATGCGGTATAGCAGACTTAATGTGCAAAGATTGCTCATATAAAGCTTTTAGTTTCTTATTATTTTTTTGGACTGTGTACATCTGAATTTCTAAGGCATAAATTTCAAGTAATTGAGTACCTTTTTTCAGATCATCTTCTCCATCATCAGTCTATCAAAATTAGAAAATTAAAATTGTTTTATATTTACAATGTTTAAATAAAATAGGCTCAGTGAGACCTACCTGACAAGATTGGTGTAATTGTTTCAATATTTTCTGTAATTTCCCAAAATCATTTCTATCAAAATACAATTTTCCCAATTTCGTATTTGTTTTAAACCATAGACGATCATTTTTAGCGTCCTTTAGTGCTTCTAATGTTGTTTCATAAAAATTTTGCAACAACTCCATCTAAAACGAAACACTTAATAAAAATATTTCTAAGGAAATTTATGAGTTTTTGTACATTTTTTGAAGTCGAAATGTAATCCAAGATAGAATTAATTGATTTTTCAGAATGATTTCGTGTTACTGCGCTTTTAATATAAGTGAGCAACTGCTTATATCGTGTCATCATTTCACCATAATTTTGCTTTATAGAATAATTTATAATTAGTTACACGCAATCAACTTAAAAACACATTACCAACCAATTTGAAATTTATTTTGATCATTTGTTTCAAAGCTCTAAAACCCCATTCCCCCTTTTCGCCATTTTCAAGATCTAACACTTTTTGAAATGATTGTAGGGCAGCTAATGGTTCTTCTTCTTTAAGCGCTTTGCTGTTGTAATATTGATTTTCTAAATCAACATCTGGTTCAGAATTGCTATCTTCTGAATATTCCTTTAAAAAAATTTTTTTTTTATTACAATCGCATGTACATACTTCGCAATTTTTATTAAAGTGCCAAATGCAATTTTTTATTTACTTACCAAACCATAATCTTCATCGTCCTCACACATAAAATCATCATCATTGTCAGACATTTTATAAAACTAATAATTTAATATTTATTTAGTTAAAATTCTTGTTAATAAAAAGATTTATTATATATTTAGTAAAATTTATTAGAATTCTCTTTCTTTTTTTTCTTTAAATCAATCAACAATTTTTGTTTTCTGACTTTTATCAAAATTAGATTGAATTTATAAAACCGAATCAAAATGTCAAACACAAATAGTGAGTGAAATCTTATGGAAAGGTAGCATAGCTTAGCATTTCTTTAAAATTTTCAAATTATGCAAATATCAAGAATATTTTAAGAATATTTTTTAAGTGCTTTAAATTACTTTATCATATATTAACTTCATCGTATATTGTCAAATGTATATTTTACAAGCATTCCATAGAATAGGTCTCTTCACCAAACAAAATTAAAAAAAAAGTTCAATAAATAATAATCTTTTAGGTTAGTTTTAGACTACTCGATAACAAAATGGCTTAGTAACTTTTTGACAACGTCAAAGTATATGTTAACATTAATGTCAAAGATTTACATAATAATTCTTGCTAAAAAAACACTTTTACGAGACAGTAATATAACTTAGTAAAAATTTAATACGGTCTTGTCAAGAACTCTGTTATATTCAAATAACTTTTCGCACAGTTTTAGGTATGTTACTACTCTTAATAATTTTAGAACTGATTTGTTTCACTTATTATTTTTCGAGATTAAAATGTAACATTTTAACTATATTTTCCAATCTTAACAAAACTGATGAAGAATTCCATTACAAATCGCTAAAAAGGTGTAAAAAAAATTATATGATATGACTTTTACAATTTTCTAATCTGAAAATTAGTAACAAACACAAAATAATTAGGAATTATTTAGCAATAGTTCATAAGTTGCTTAAAGTACATGTATATAATTTATATAAAAATGATTTTACATAAAAAATCGTGTAAAACTGTCAGTATTCAGTAATTCGGTTGGCTTAATTAAAAAAATATATGTTTTTTTATATAGTTTAATTTATGTATCAATACCACGCACCATTACCTAATATGAATATATTGGGTAAAGCACCAATTTCAATAATAAAATTTATGTTATAAAAAATTTTATGTTATGAGTGGAATTAAAAAATATTAATTTTATAACATAAAATTTCCTTTATAAAAATATGATTTTGTACTTTTTTTCGGTACGTATTCATTTCGTTAGGACCGTAAAAAATTCTTGCAACTTAAATTTGTTTCATTTTCTATTGTTTCGACAGTTTTTGTTCCCTCACTATTATTATTATTTTTTATTTTTATTTTTCTTTTTTTATTATTATGTTTTAGAAAATTGTTTTCTCTTTTTTTCTTGTATCTAATCGACTTAAAAGAATTATTACTTTTTATTTTATATATATATTTATCTCTTTTTTTTTCCTTTTTTTTTGTTACTCATTCAACCAGCAAGAGAGAACAAATACAATTTCTTTCACTTTCCTCCAACCAACAAACACATTAATTTAATAGAAACGTACGTCTGAAAAATTACTTGCCGTCTATCTCAAAACTATATATACATATATATGTGAAAAGTATTACAATACAAAAAAATAAGCAAAAAGCAAAGCAAAAGTGAATTTATAATTATAATTTTCTTAAAAAAAAGAAAAAATAGAAGAGTGTATTTTTATTTTGTTTATTCAAGTTATTTCAAGAACATCAAATTATTTTTTCAATAAGATTCATTTGAAATTAAAGTTGAATATACAAAAACAATTGAAAAAAACTTAAAGAAATTTTTACCAAAGGTAAAAAATTTAATTAAAAATTTAAAGAAAAAAAAAAGGTAAAGATTACGTGTGACTAGAAATTTTTTTTTTGCTCGTATTGCTGTGGTCGCAGTCTTGTAATCGCATTTACAAAAAAAAAGGAAGGAAAGAAAAAAAAATTGCTTGGTTTTAATTTTTTTTTTTTTGGAAATTGATGCCTGCCTGTATTAATGTATTATTAATTAAAAAAAGAAATATTAGTTACCCATATTAAAATTATTGTTATGAAGGATTTCAATTTTATTTTGAAAAAACTATAAATTAAAAAAAAAACTAATAAGAAAAGCCAAAAATATTTGTAATTTTTTTATATTAACTTGCAATTTTCATAAGAAAAAAAAAAAAATACAAAAATTTAGAAAAACTAAAAATAAAAAAATAATTGAATAACATTCTCAATTTTTTAGGTACCTACATACATACATATTTTATTTGGGCATACTTAATTGCATACAAACTTGGAATAGTAATTTTTGTACAAAATAAAACAAGCATTTTAACTAAAGTTTTCATTTTCTCGTAGATTTTTTTTTTTCAAATTCATCTTTCACTTTTTTTTTTGTTTTGTTTGCAATGGTGCTCCATTACTTTTAATAAGACTTCCTTCACCTGTATCGTATTGTGGTTTGTGTATGTGTAATGGATTCAAATGTTCTTTTCTTATTAATTGTATGTACGTTCATAAATATGTATATAAAAAGGTATTGTGTGTAGGTGAAGTTAAAAACTATATAGAAAAAGGATTTTCAAAAGTGATTTTGGTTTTTTTTTTGTTTTTTTTTTTATTGGATCCTTTGTTATATAGAATTTTTTAATACACACAATTAATAGAAAGAGCTTCAAATGGAGAAATTGGCATAGATTTTTTTTAATGGACATTTTTTTTTTGTAAACTAATTTGATATTAAAAAATAAATAGCAATTGTTATTTTTTTTTAGTTTTTCTAAAATCGCTAAATGTAATTTTCATAATTTAAAAAAATCTTAATTAATTATAAGGGATTCAAAAAAAATTAGGGATTCAAACAAATTTAGAAAATTTATTTCTTTGTAATAGAAACGAAACAGGTATAATAACATATATGTATATGTATATTGAAATTATTGAAACCTACCTACCAATTTTTTAGTTGTTATTTTAGGAATTTTATGGTTAATCATACAGTACATTGGTTTTGATAAATGCCAATCTGCATCTATCTAACTACCTGTATATTGGAGTTTTACCTGCTTAGTTTTTATTGGATTTTAGATTAAATATCGATTCATAAAAAATTATCAATATTCTAAAATATTTGAGGGTTTTCCAAACCTTGAAAAACATGTTGAAAATCTATTCCTTTACCAAACTGGAGCTTTCATTTAACTTAAAATCATTTTACTTTTAAAAATTTTTAATTTGTTAAATTTAATTTTAAATTTTGCGTTCACATGCATAAATATTTGACATTTTCAAGAGATTTTTTTTGTGTAAGTTTAATATTCGTAATTTATTACACAGCTAATTCCAGGAACAATTGACTAGTTAGATATTTTAATTACAATATTAATTTATAAATATTTCTTTTAAGCAAATAAAAATTTACTATTAAGTAGTTGTACAATGAATTTACTTAATAAATTAAAAACTATTTGTTTTTATTATGTATGGATTTAGGTACATACGTATGCAATAGCATTATAATTCTATTTATGTTATATATAAAATGCATATACATTGTACATAATGTATAAACAATATTGTATTATATTAAATTAAAAAATTCTTTGAAATTTTAGGCACATTTGCTTTATAATTTAGACTGATTTGAATTTGGAAGGAAAAACAGAAAAAAAAAAAAATAAAAATTTAAATGATGGCTGATCAACAATTCTTTTTGAAATGGAATGATTTTCAAACAAACATGGTCACATCGTTTCGACATCTTAGAGATGAAAAAAGTTTTACAGATGTAAGATTTCAAAATTTTTATTTGTTTTATTTACATGTTGTATATTTTGTAGTTGCCTATCTATTTATGTACCTACCTGTTTATAAATATAATTTACCTATATTATATCATGTGTATGTTATAAGTTTATACTTATATTGTTTTTCAATTTTAGGTAACACTTGCCTGTGAAGGACAGACATGTAAAGCTCATAAAATGGTATTATCTGCTTGCAGTCCATATTTCAAATCTCTTCTCGAAGTAAGAATTTATTTTTATTCTTTTATTTTTTAGTTTGTATTTTTCAATTTATTTATATTATTATTTTTTTTTTTTTAGGAAAATCCATCAAAACATCCAATAATAATATTGAAAGATGTATCATATATTCATTTGCAAGCTATTCTAGAATTTATGTATGCCGGTGAAGTAAATGTATCTCAAGAACAATTGCCAGCTTTTTTGAAAACAGCTGATAGACTAAAGGTTAAAGGTTTAGCTGAGACGCCTAGTTCAATTAAACGTGAAGGTTGATGGTAATCTTTTAGTATTTTGTGACGTTCTTCTCTATAAACTCTAATATAAAGAATAATGACTATAATTAATATATGTATTATATATAAAAATATATACATACTTATAAAATTAAAAATATCACAACAAAAAAAAAAAAAGAATATTTTCATTTGTTTATTCATCATGATTTTCTTTATGTATTATTTTTTTTTTGTTTTAATAATGCTATCCAATTTCTTTACGCAGAAATTGATTTCTAATTTTTTTAATATAAAAATGTAAATTGGATTATTTTTTGAATAAAAGAATGAAAAAAGATTAAATATAATTATAGAATTTTTTAATAGGTAATAAAAATAATTTTTAGCTTTTTTTTCTTAATAATTGGAACTATTTTAGTTTTGGAAGTAAATTTAATAACAATTTAATAAAAAGAATTTTTTAAAAATACACAAAACCATTGGTAGCTATTTTACTTGCATAAATAAATTATCATTCATTTAAATTTTGATCGCTGAATTGAAAAAAAGGAAAACAATTTGGTTTTATGACATTTGAACAAATTTAAGTGCTCGAATCACTAAAATTTTTGAGCTATTTTCAAAATTGCTATTGAACTGGAAATAGTATTTAAAACTGCATAAAAAAAGTACATAATTTTTATCAAAATTAATATTAATAATTTTCTCAAACTTAAATAATTTAAAAATAAAAAAAAAAAAACAATTTCTTTTAGAAAAAGGAAATCACTTAAATTAAAATTTTCTTTGCAAAGTTATATAATATATAACACAAGTACGGAACAAGGATTTCGAAAAAGGTACTAAGAATTTTTTTTCTTAATGTGTTCAATTATGTATGTATATTCAAAATGATTAAATAATTTTAAATGTTTTTCAAAAACTTTTTTATAATATTTTAAACAATTTGAAAATGATTGTTTTATTATTAGATTTCTAAAATTACGAGTTTATATTATTATGTTATTTTAACTATTAATATAAAGATGAAATATAAAATATTGTAATCACAGTTTAAATATAAATATGTTATAATTTATTTGGAAAAATTTTAACAATGCTTTTTATAATGTGATTATAACTCTTATATAAATTTTTATATTAATTTTTTTTTTTATAATTATAATTATTTTTATTATTATGCCAGTATAATATTCTCGAAAAATATATCTAATATTGTTAATAAAAATACATGCATACATTTATTAATAATAATGTGAAAAAACGTTATTAAAAATATAAAATGAATTAAATTTTTTTTAGTTAATGAAAATTTTAATAGAATTATGCATTTAATTTGTTGAATTCACTTTATAAGCAATTAAATTATTTTATTTTATTTTTAGTTTTTGAAACGGAAGAGAAATTTTTTAATTCGTAATTTTTATAAAATTTAATATTTTTTTTTATCATCGAATATGTACATATATAATCCCTACATTTCTTTTTGAAAAAATTGTTAATATTATAAAATACTTATAATAAAGTCAAAAACTAAAATTAAATCAATTTCAATATCCTTTTTAAAATTATTAATTAATTGTTCAAAAATTATGTCATTTGCGAAATATGTATTTATTTTTCAAAAATTTTCTCATATCCACAACAATTTGAAAACAAATGATTTATTCAAAAAATTTCGTTATTTTTTACTGAATTTTTTTTAATATAAAAGAAATTTTTAATAAATTAAAAATAAACGCAAAATAATATTCATTCTTATTAAAATTTTTAAATATATTTTATTATCTATAATTTCGAAACTTCTCAATTAAACTGAAATCAAGAAACCAAATAAGAAAATGTATATTGTATAAAAACAAAAATATTATAAATTAATAATATAATAAAAATTTAAAATAAATATATAAAAAAAAAAATAAATGATGGAATGTATTTGAAAATAGCGCCTTTATGTTAAGATAAAATATAAAGTTTAAAGAGAGCGAAAGAAAAACGAAAAAAATAATATATTATGTATAAAAAAAAACCAAAAAAAAATATCTAAATTAAAAAGACAGATACAATATTTTATTTGAAAAACAAATTTTTTTTTTAAAGTTTTTCCTCGATTACAAACGGTTTAAACATTCAAATTTTTTAACTATGATTAAAAGATCCTTTTAAAACCTAATCGAAGTTACCACAGTTTAAGAATAAGTTTTTAAACTTATGCTAAACTTTCATTCCTTTTAGTAAACTTAACTTCTTACTTAAACAGACCTAGACTTTGAAGTTCGAGTTTCGAAAAAAAAAAATTTAAATCAATGCATATCTAGAAAATTTATAATGGTAACATTGTAGACAAACTTTAGTATTCGATTTAAAGTTTCATTATAAAGCTAATATAGTACTATGATATATGGTATTGGGATACATGTCGTATGTGTACTATATTAAAATTATTATTAAAAAGAGCTATATGTCTCCGTAATTAATAATTATAAATATTATATTTAAAAAAAAAGTCAATTTGGAAAAAAACCCCTTCGAAAATAATAAGTACATACAACTTACTTTTGTTTCCATTTTCCACTATTTTATGATCTTTATAATTTTTTACAAAAACATTATTATAAGGGTACATAAATGTAAATATTTTAAATTATTTTATTTTTTTTTTTAATAAAATTTCATATTGAATTTCTACAATTTCAATTTATAATCAAACCTTCTCATATTCTACAATTATCTTAAGTTTGTTAGAACCAATAAAAATATTTGACTTTAGTTACTTAATTTGAAAAAGAAAAAACAAAATTAAATTAGAAAACTTAAATTAATTTTCTTCTATGCTCAAAACATTATTTTTTTTTTCTTTATAATTTAAAAATTTTGTTTTTTTAATTATTTTCATTTTCTTGCAATATATAAGTTTTACCTAAAATATAAGAAAAATTATATTAATATGATATAATTAAAATTAAAAATAAAAAATGAATTTGTATACATAAAAGCAAAACAAAACAAAAAAAAATTAAAATAAAAATTGTATAATTTTAATGTAATTTTAATGGTATGTTTGTTTTATTATTTTTTTTAACTTTACTGAGTAGAAATTTAATTTAATTAAAAATAAAAAGGAAAAGATAAAAAAATCTTATTTCCTTTTTTTTTAAAAATAAAAAGGAAATAAGATTTTTATAAAATTATTTGCAATAATTAAAGATATTTAAGTTTTTCCTGGGTGAAACTATTGAAATTAATAATTTTTAATAAGTATTATTAGAACAATATGCAGTTTTCACTTGCATTTTTAGCTAGGAACTTAAGTAACTACTTTGAGTAAAGAAAGTTTTTGCAGTTGTTGATGTACTGTCAGAGTCGTATCCTTTTATTCAATTTAAAAAATGGAAAACAAAATAATGATCAATATTAAAATTCGAAATTACTTTTACTTATTTATATATGAGGGATCATATTTTCATTTTTTATTTCTTTTCTTCAAAAATAATTTTATTTTAACCAAACTTTGAATTGCAATCAGTTTATTAAATACTTTTTTGATATAACTTAGGGAAACGTAATATAGTAATCAGCATACTATCGATTTAATGAATTTTAAGTCTCTTTTTTTAACCAAGAGCATTAAAATAGGATAGAATGAAAGCTAGGAAAAAAAGGAAAATCACTTTAATATATAAAAAAATAATATATGAAAAATATTTATGTAGTTAAAGTATTATAAATAATAATATATGTATGTAGATATACATTTAATTATAAAATTAAAATTTCCACTGAAAAATACCAAAACATGTACAGTAAAAAATTTTAATTTTTTGATATTTTTGTATATAATAATTTTAGTTGAGGCCTTGTATATAAATCTAGATTAACAATGAAATTTAAAACTATATACTAATTCTTATTAATCTAAATGTAAAACAATGTCAAAGACAAATTAAAAAACTGTGTGAAGTTCACTTAATATATACATACATAGATATTTTATTAAATTTAAATTTAAAATTTTTTAATATTCATGTATATATGCTATACAAAGTGATACAAATGTTTTTTTTTTACTAGACAAAGTGATACAAATCTAAATTTTTTGTAATATCTACTTCCACTTGGAAAGTGGTTTCTCTAAAAATTATAATACTTGAAGTACTCGTAATACAAAATGAGATTTTTTTTTTCAGAATGTAAGAAGTGTGATGTTCAATTTATTTTTCACAGCTTGATTAATATTCTAATTGAATTGATTAGCATATTAATTTTAATTGAGATTTATAATTTTTTTTTTACAATTAATACATTTTCACATAGAGGTTTCAAAACAAGTAATATAATATCCCTCATTCTTTAAATTGAAAAAAGTTAGTAAAAAAAAAAAAAATTAAAAGTTTAATGAGTATAACATAATTGTAGGAAGGTTGTTTAAGGTTTTGGTTGATTTATTTGTGGAAAAATAATAAAAATAGAGTTTAACATTAATTTTGATTTTACAATTTAATATTCTTTTTGATTCTTGTGTATCTAAATAACAATCTATAAATTAAATCAGAATTTTTCTCCAAACTACTTTCTGGTAGGAAAATACATTGTATTAATATACGTATGGAAACCTCTTAAATCCCTAATATTTGAAAAATTATAATCTGCCATTCCGCACCTAGGGGTATTAATATTGAATTGTAGTCTTAAATGGAGTCGTCGTTTAAATATAAAAATTGTGAATTATTTTGCTTTAAATAGGAACCAATTTATGAAACGGACTATAAAAAAAGGTAAGTAATATTTATGTTTTAAATTATTTAATTTAAAATTTATGTTTTAAATTTGTTATACTAATACTGATTTCTTAAAAATTTTTAATTAAAAGTATTTCAGAATAATTTATTAATATAAAGTAATTGGAAATATTATTATGTATTGTGATCCGCTTATGTACATATATATTCACGTAATATACATATTATCTTATTTAGGCTTTCTAATTTGTTAGGATAGTACAAATTATTTTCAAAAAGTTAAATTTTAAGTGACTTAAAAACAGTGAGAAAATTATACAAATGCATTTATATGCAGTTATACAATGTATTTATGTGATATAAATAACAGAATACATAAATTCTCATATTTATACTAATAATAAGTAATACGATCGTACCCTATTCACTTTAAGTTTATAA